ACTTTTCTCTCCCCATCTTCCCTTACCTCCCTCCCACCCCACCCCCAAGATCCCATTTTTTGCCCGGCAATCTTGTCTACTTCCCATAATCAGGAGGATAGCTATATGTTTTTCTTTGGGATCACCTTCTTATTTAGCTTCTTTAGGATATCAAAGTTTAAAAGATGTTGTTAACCTTATGTGCTTTAGGGACTTTTTTTTAATAAAATTTATATTCCTATTTTTTTTTGAGAAATAGAGATATCTGCTAATTGCACCCCCTACCTGTCCCAGTGGAAACAATAAGCTGGAAATAAATAGGGCTTTACTTATGTGATGATCTTGCTAGATTTCATAGTCCCCTCCTGCAAAGGACTGTGATTTGTTGGTAGTTGAAAAAGAAGTGTTTAAACTCAGAGTTCCTATAAGATGTCTTGGTGAACAAAGAATCTGGATATAGCCTATAAAAAAAGTAGAATTCTTTACTCATATATACATATGTACATATGTTATAGAAATTGTCAATTCTAGACTCAATAGAAATGATTATAGAAAAATAGTATTCCATTTTCAGATGAACATATAAAAGAAGCCTTTTATATTATTACTTTTCTATTGCTGTGGTTTATCTTGTGCTTATGGTTTTGGAGCGATAAGAGCTCATCATCTTCATGGCAGGGAACATGGCCGCAGGCAGCAGGTATGATGGCAGAAACAGCTGAAAGTTCACATTTCAAACCATAACCAGGAAATAAGAGAGCCAACTCAGAATGGTGTCAGCAGTTTTAACTATGAAAGCTGGTGGGTTAGTGAAATACTTTCTCCAGCAAGGCCAACTTCTAAAACTACTAAGACAGGCACCAACTGGACTTGAAGTGTACAAACGCCTGAACCATGGGGGACATGTCATTCAAACCAGAGCACCTTGGTATAAAGCGTGTGGCCTCTCCTACTGAGCTGTATTTGTCAATCACTGAGATACATGTAGTACATATCTGTATTAGCAGTACTCGAAGCAGAAGCAGGATGGTTGCAAATTTGAGGTTAGTCTCTGCTATATAGTGAGTTCTATTGTTTAATAAAACAAATGTTGGAGCTGAATAACTTTTTCTTTATTCAAATCAAAATGAATAACTATTTTAGAATATATGTCCTTTTCACTGAGAGATCACTTTTTTATTCTTGGTAATAATATTTCTTAAAACTTATGTTTTTCCCAAAAGAACCTTATGTTTCAAAGTATAGGTTGATCCCCCTCCCCCACAAGCCGTGTATGACATGGAACTCCTTATGTAGAATAGGCTGGCTTCAAACTCACAATGAGCCTGCTTCTGCCTCCTGAGTGCTGGAATTGAAGACATGCAATGCCGCTACTTGTCCATATGTTGAAAGTTTTAGCTGAAGAAGATTGTTTAGATAGTGGAATGGATTTGGAGGTTTAGAGTTTTAATAGAGTCTCTTTTATCCTAGTTTCAAAGCTAAAGTTTAAAGGGGCACATATTTTTTGTGTACTCTAGCAAGGTTAGATTTTTCCCTATGAAAAACTAAGACAATATGTATTTTCTAATTGTTTTCTACGAATTTTTGAAAATTTTCACTAAAAGTCAAAATTTACAGAGAGTTCCATATTACAGTGAGCTGCTGTGTGTGCATCCCCAGAGTCATCAGTTACATCCTCTCTCTCCTCATGCCTTCTCTTTTTGTCTTCCCTGTTATTTTTAATGACCCATTTGAGAATAAGTTATAGACATCATTGTTTAGATTTGAATCTGTATCCTTCAAATTTATTTCATGATACTATTTATAATTAAAGAGTTTGAAATGTGCCTTGTTTTTAATCACAAAATATTTTGAATATATTGAACCTGTTAGTAAGCCAAAATAATTACTATATGTTTACCATAGTTGGTATAAGTTTCTTATGGTTTTTAAATTTGGGAAAGCTATCATTATTTGAAAACATTAATGTAAAACATGAAATATGCTTCTTGTTAAATTATGTATATATATGTATATATATATATGTGTCTGTAAGCCACTTGTCATTAATTTGTAGTAGTTATAATGTTGACTCAAACTTGTGCATTTGTGAGAACAGCTGAATGTTTTTTGGCCTCCTGAGTTACAAGTACTTTTACCTGTGAATATAATAAATTAGAAGTAAAAAACATGTTAATAAGATAGCCTTTCGTAGTGAGCATCATTGGTTATTGGATTTTTTAAAATTAAAATAGTCTTGCTTTCCTCTGGGATTAGAAAAGTGTCGCAGGCTTGCTGAGGTGTCTCCATCTTTGTCCTTCAAAGTTAGTGCACTTTCGTATTAGTTATCCCTCCCAGTATTTCCTCACCTGCCCTGCCCTGCCCTCCTCTTTCTCACCATGTTTAGTTAGTTCTGTCCCATTATTCTCTCCCTCTTTATCACTGTATCCCGATCTCTTTCTCCCACTGTTTTTCTATTTTCTATGGCTAGTCCAAATGAAATGTACATATCTAAAGTTTCAATCTACTCTCCACGTATGAGAGAAAACAGGAGATGTTTATTGTCCTGACCAAAAAGCAAGTTGGGGAAGAAAGGGTTTATTTGACTTATACTTCCATATCCATAGTCCATTCCTGAAGGAAGTCAGGGCAGGAACCCAAACCAGGCAGGATCCTGGAGGCAGGAGGTCATGGAGTGGGGCTGCTTACTACCTTGTTTCCTATGGCTTGCTTAGCCTGCTTTCTTCTAGAATCCTGGACCACTAGCCTATGGATGACACCACACACCATGGTGAGGTGGGCAAGAAGTGCCCACTCTTGGCTAGGGAGCTATTGGTAAATTATAGCCTCCTACGGAAGGAAATTCAATTTCCTTAAAGGGTATGACTCTTGATAGGTGGACCACTCTCTCCAAGGCAAACCCTGCCCCCAGGAATATTTAGGTTACACATACTGAACTGAATGGTTTTAAAAAGTAAAAAAAATGAACACAACGTTGGGTAGGTATGGTGTGAGAGTGGATCTGGGAAGAGTTGTGGTTAATATGATCAAAATATGTTATATTACATTCTCAAAGGATTATTAAACTATTATTAAAAATAGTTTCATGGAATGTGGCTACATTGTTTATTCAATGTTCAACAATGGAAACACATATATACATTTAGCATTATACAGAATGGTCATGTTGTACTTGCGTGTTTAGGAATATAAATATATGTTTGCAATAACAATTAATGAAAAAAGAGGCCATAAATTAATTTTACAAAGATTGAAGTGTATATGAAAGAGTTTGGAAGGAGAAAAGGGAAGGGAAAAATGATGTAATTATATTGTTATCTCAAAAGATAAAAGAAATACTGTAATATTGTAAAAATTGTTTACTGCAGCACTATATTGCTCTAACATTCTAAGATGCCATCATTATGTAGATGATCAACTCCAAGTGAAAACTGTAGGAATTATGTTAGAAACTAGTAGGACGGTATCCAGATCATCTCTCATCAGGTAAATATATGTGGTGTGTTTGCGGGAAGGGAAGTTATCTTACTGGGTGTTGGAGTGGGCACAGGAAGTGGTCCCCTGAGCATGGCAGTGCCATAGAACTAAGAACAAAAAGTGGGTGTCTTTTTCTACACCACTGAAATTTAATTTAAGATCAGGATGTGAAATGGTGATCTCTGAAAGAAAAATAACGTGTTGATGGGGTGACTGTGACAGTTAGGAATCCAAATATTCTGATTTCCATGTAAAACCGTCAATATGGAAGTGTTTATTAGTTGAAAAATGTGTTACATATTTCTAAAACTTATTACCTTGAAGCAATACTTGGTAGATTTTATCCTTTTTTGTTTTGTTTGTTTATTTTGGTTTTGCTTTTTGTTTTTCGAGACAGGGTTTCTCTGTGTAGCTCTGACTGTCTTGGAACTTGAGGCTGCCTCAAACTTATCAAGATCCACCTGCCTTTGCCTCCCAAGTGCTGGAATTAAAGGAGTGCACCACCACTGCCCACCTTAC